GGTCTCAACTTCAGTGTTATACATTTTAGTTAAAATTCTTTAAAAAATTTTTTTAATAGTTTATTTATTTTTGAGACAGAGCATGAGCAGGGGTGGGGCAGAGAGAGAGGGAGACACAGAATCTGAAACAGGCTCTAGGCTCTGAGCTTCCAGCACAGAACCTGATACGGGGCTCAAACCACAAATGGTGAGATCATGACCTGAGCTGAAGTCGCTTAACCGACTGAGCCACTCAGGCACCCCTAGTTAAAATTCTATATGGCCCTGAAACACAAGTAACAAAAACAAAAACAAAAACATTGGGCTTAAAAATTAAGAACGTTTGTGCTTCAAAGGACACTGTTAAGAAAGTGAAGACAACCATGTAATGGGAAAACGATTTTGCAAATCAAGTGTCTTAATAAAAGATAAACTGTGGTACATCCATACAATAGACACGTATTCAGCAATTATAAGAAATGAGTTATCAAGCCACAAAAAGATATTGAATCTTAAGTGGATATTGCTAAGTGAAATCCAGTCTGGAAAGACTATATACTGTATCACTCCAACTATATGAAATTCTGGAACAGGAGAACAGTAAGAAGTGGTTGCCATGGATTCAGGAGTGGGGAGCGGGAGTTTAATAGGTGAAACACAGGGTTTATTTTAGGGTGGCCACACTATTCCGTATGACACTGTAATAGTAGATACATGACAATGCATTTATCAAAACACAGTGAACTTTATAGTACAATGATGCTTAATGTATGCAGATTTAAAAAACTCATCTAGGAGGTGGTGGTTCTCAGGATGAAATGCAGAGTGCAAAATCTAACTATGTTACAAACATATTAAACAATCTCCCTGAAGAGGGTAAGGTTGCTGACCTAAGTCACTTTGGAAATGAAATCTATAAAATTAAAGGTAAAAAGGACTATTCTTAGTACTCATGGTAATTGATAAAATTGTTTCCCATGCGGGCATGTGTTTATAGTTCTACCACTATACATGCATACTGGAATTCAACAATTAAGCAAATGGTATGCAGATGGTAGGAGCAAGCTTTCTCAATGTTCACTGAAATAACACTAAACTGATTCATTCATGCAAGTAGGCCTGTTAGAAACAAGTTTTACACATGTGCCTTTACAGAGCTGTAACATGCAGCAGTGTGTGCTGTTGTGTTTCACTGAGATAATGCTGTGATATCGTGGTAGAATAAAAACATACACATTTGGTCTTTATTCCTGGTTCCTGGCATACAGCTCTTAAAACCCTTGGAATTTCCTGATGGGGTGGGAGGAGTATCTTTTTTATTCATAATAAGATCCTTTCAACCATACCTTAGTTCATGCTAATCAGATGACTCTTGAAGGACATGCTGGGAACTATTTACCAGAGGAAAGAACCACGTGAGTGGAGGGGTGAAACTTTCAGTCCCACCCCCATACCTCCAGCCTTGGAGAGAGGCTGAGATTAAGTCCAATCACAAATGGCCAAGGACACAAACAGTTCTGAGACCATTCTTCCACCATCGATGAACATTACGGTGGCAGGTATTGGGGATAATATTCTTTTAGCCTTGTGAGCTCTCTGGGCACAGTTGTGACCACCAGCTGCCCAGCTGCCTCCTTGCCACTACTTTGATGACACCATTTAATAGTAAAAAAACTGGTTAATTATAACAATGCATCGTAAAATGTTCAGAAGAAAAGGAGAATGTTTTGTGAACCATGTTTTGTGTGTGTGTATGGAGGTTTTAGGTGATTGATTTTTAAAATAAGTACTTTTTAATGGAAACAATTTGGCCAAAAATCTGTCACAGAATTTTGAGACCGATTAAAACAAAAGTTGAATGAGACAACAAAAACAAAAAACCCACAAATGACCTACGAACTTAATCAATTGTGCCAATGTAATGGAACCTCCAGAAAAACCTTAAAGGACAGGGTCCAGATAGCTTCAAATTGGTGAACAAACATCAAGGTGCTGGAGGAGTAATGTGCTCAGAAAGGACATGGCCACTCCACATCACTTGCCCTATTCGTCTCGTCCCTTTGGGTGCTTCTGAATTGTATCTTTTATGATAAACTGGCAGTTTAGTAAGCAGTGTTTTCTATGAGCCATTGTAGCAAATTATCAAACCTGAAGGGGCAGTTGTGTGTGGCTGGTTTATTACCAGTTGGTCAGAACTACAGGCAACAACCAGGGACTGACTGGTGACGGAAACTGAGGTCAGGGGAGTCTTGTGGGCCTGAGACCTTACCTGGGAGGTTTGCACCAACTTCCAGTACTGTCAGTCAGAAGTGTTATGAGCAGATAAAACAGGTTTTTCTTTAACATTATACTAATTCATTCCTATAGCTGTTGATGTGGGAAACAACTTTACATGTGTATTCAAGGGACATTCTGCAGAAAACCTAATCAGTATTCCTCAAAATTGTGTGTGCCATCAAAAACAAAGCAAGTCTGGGGCGCCTGGGTGGCTTAGTCGGTTAAGCGTCTGACTTTCGCTTAGGTCATGATCTCGCGGTTCGTGGGTTCGAGCCCCGCATCGGGCTCTGTGCTGACAGCCAGCTCAGAGCCTGGAGCCTGTTTCAGAGTCTGTCACTCCCTCTCTCTCTGACCCTCCCCTGCTCACGCTGTCTCTCTCTCTCCTAGAAATAAATAAAACATTTAAAACAAAAACAAAAACAAAAAAACAAAGCAAGTCTGAGAAGTGTCACAGCAAAGAGGCACCTATGCAGGCAGGTCTAAATGTAATATTGGGGCGCCTGGGTGGCTTAGTCGGTTAAGCGTCTGACTTTCGCTTAGGTCATGATCTCGCGGTTCGTGGGTTCGAGCCCCGCTTCGGGCTCTGTGCTGACAGCCAGCTCATTTCTTGTGCCTGTTTCAGTCTGTGACTCCCTCTCTCTCTGACCCTCCCCTGCTCACGCTGTCTCTCTCTCCTAGAAATAAATAAAACATTAAAAAAATATTAAAAAGCATAAATGTAATATATCCCAGCACAGAAATAGACAAAAAGAAAATCTGAATAAAGTACAGTGCAAAGTATTTGAATACACTTCTCCAAAGCTACACAAATACAGTAAGCACATGAAAAGATGCCTAACATCATTAGACGTTACGGAAACACAAATAAAAACCACTTCACTACCCACTAGGGTGGCTGTAATAAAGACAGATACTAATAGGGGCGCCTGGGTGGCTCAGCCGGTTGAGCATCCGACTTTGGCTCAGGTCATGATCTCACAGTTTAAGTTCAAGCCCCGCGTCGGGCTCTGTGCTGACAGATAGCTCAGAGCCTGGAGCCTGCTTTGGATTGTTTCCCTCTCTCTGACCCTCCCCTGCTCATGCTGTTTCTCTCTCTCTCTCAGAAACTTAAAAAGATTAAAATTACATTAAAAAAAACCCCAGATACTAGTAAGTGTTGGCAGTTAATGTGGAAAAATTAAAACCTCATATATTGCTGGTAGGAATGTAAGATGGTGCAGGCTTTTTGGAAAAGTTTGGCAGTTTTTCTAAAGATTAAACACTTACCACGTAACCCAGCAATTCCATTCCTAGGTATAGATCTAAAATAATTCTAAGTATGTCCATACAAAAATTTACACATGAATGTTCATAGCAGCATTATTCAAATGGGGAAAAAAACCAATGTCCACTAACTGATGGATGTGTAAACAAATGCATGGCTATGCTAACTATACAATAGACTACTTGGCAATAAAAATGAAGAACTGATACATACCAGGATAGGGATAAACTTTGAAAACATAATGAACAGGTTACAAAAGGCCACATATTGCTGACTCAGTTTTATACAAAATGTTCAATAGACAAACCCTTAGAAATGGGAGCTGGGGAACGGAATGGGGAGTGCCTGCTTAATGGATTTGGGGTTTCTTACTAACTTTTAAAAATGTTTATTCAGTTTTGAGAGACAGAATGCAAGTGGGGGACAGGCAGAGAGGGAGACATAGAAACCGAAGCAGGCTGGACTCAGCTGTCAGCAGAGCCGGATGTCAGGCTCAAACTCATGAACCGTGAGATCATGACACGAACAGAAGTTAGACACTTCACACTACTAGGCCCCCAGTCGTCCCTTGGGGTTTCTCTTCTAGGGCAATGAAAATGTTCTGGAATTAGACTATGGTGATGGTTGCAGACTCTATAAATATACTGGAAACCACAGAGTTGTACACCTTTTATAAAAAGGTAGATTTAATGGCATATGAATTATTTCAATAGTTATTAAAAAGACTGTGCTGTTTGATACTATATATGCTTATTCTATAAACAGGTGCTCTAGTAGAGCACAACTGAGAGAAACAGCAGATCTTAACAAGTTCTTATTCTCCATGTTTTTCTTTGCTATAGCCAAAAAACCTGAGTAGAAGAATTAAAAGAAAGACTACACTGAACAACTCTAATGTTTTATAAACCTTTATTGGAAAGGCTACAAACTTCATATTGCCACTGCATTTCTTAACCTTAAAGTGGTTGGGGGGAAGTAACCTTGGATACAAAACTACTATGCTGTTGAATCTTGCCCAGGCTGGTTGTAAAATATTTTTTTGTACAATGGAGGTAGAGTGGATACGGCACTAATTTAATCATCACAGGCCTTGATTCATGCCAGGACACTTCCTGACACCACCCATCCCCACCCACCCACCATTCAGGTTCTAGTAGGCCTAGAAATAAACTACAAGTACTGTATTTAGGCTCAGGGATGGCACAATACATTTTTAATTTTTAGTTTTCCCCATTTGTTCTTTTACAAATGTAAAATGTACAACTGATGTCTCTTTTCCCTAAAATTAAAGTGTGTTCTAAAAATATCTACTCTGGGAATGGAAAAAAGGTAGTAGATGGAAAGAAGAGCAACACAACATCCTTTTCATAGTTGTTTTACCTGATTTTTCTCATACCAGCCTAAGAATCTTACTTTTCTATAAAACATTAGTGATCAATGCTTCCCCCAATCTCAAATATTCAACTTAATGGAGACAGAGAATCTTTAACTTAACATTTAATGAAAACAGAGCATTTTAACAAGTTCTATGCAGACATGGTTCTAATATTGATTTGCTGTTACCTTATTTTTAAAAGGGGGAGGTGGTGGGGAAATACAGAGGCTAGGTTAACCTTGCCCCAATGCTCAGGATCATAACTTATGAGTCACAGAACTCAGATGTCCTTGACTGTACAAAGCATCAGTTGAAGCCATAAAGCCTGTTTTTTACCAACATGTCAAACTTTCGTTTTGTCTTTTAAAACTATAAAATGGGCATGTACCTGAGCCATAAGCTTCAGGTCAATGGGTTTTTAAGGGCTGCTGAAGAACCAGAATGAAGGATACATTCTCCAGTTTAAAGATACATTTTACAGTTCAAAGTATGTTCTTCCTTCTAAAAATGTGACACAAAGAATAATTTATACCAACTGCTTTTTATTATCGAGTCTTAGAAACCTTTCACAAGATGGTAAAAAAACAAAAAACAAAAAAGAGGTGGGGTAAGAAAAAAAAAACTTTACAACCACAGCTAATGTTATTTTCTCCATTGTTCCCAGTCAGCTCCAAACCCATTGTGTGCAAAGCCCATTTTTCCATGCATCTAAATGATAGATACAGGCTATGAAATTCTTTATTCTATTTGTAGCAGCTTACGCAGGTGCAGCCAAACACAAAGCTTCAGGACAAATTGTACACAAACTTTACAATGTGGGATTTGGATTTAAAATATGAAACATAAAATCTACACAAAACTGATAAAAATCAAGCACAGATACCAGGACTGAAACTTATAACCCATGTGTGAAAGGGAGTCTTGTTTCCTTTCAAGTGCTTTATTCTGCTACAGAACAGTCAAAATGAAGATGTAAAGCTTTGTGGTTAGTTTAAATTATACACTCTGTAGATACTATACCAATTTTAAAAGTTACACATAGACCAACAGATGTCCATCAGTTCATCTGGATTGACCAGACACTCCAGCTGGATGGCTGAAAGCAAACCGAGCAAATGTGGAAAGAAAATCCACCTGTGCAATTTGTTTGCAGAGTTTACTGATGGGCACATTGCACTCCTGGTCCATGATGGCTGCTGCTTTCTTCATCAGAGCTATCATTATAAGCTTCACGCCTCTGACCACCTCCTGAGCCCCGAGTGCTATCAAATTCTTGAAGCTCTACCTCCTCTGTGTCGCCAATGATGTTTGGAACTTCTGGTCTAGATGGCAGAAGGTCTTCTAGTTCCTTCATTAAAACAGAACAAAGATTAGTTGAAAGATACTTTCAATTTTCCTTTGGATACAATCCAAGATATATGCTTGTTTAAGAGTTAAGATAGGTAAATCTGTGTGCACTTTAAGCCAGAGATCACAAACTGATGACCCACAGGCCAAATATGCAGACATCTTCTGTACAACCCAACTACTATTTAGAAAATAAAAAGCCACAATTAATTCCCGACACTAAAACACTGGAAGTTTTCACATCAGACACACTTTCCTGCATGGAAGAGTTAAAAGTTGCTAAGCTGGCATACTATGATACACTGGATGCCTCTTCAGGTGAGGGATCTGGTCTCTAGGGAGCCCCCATCTTCCTAACACCAACTCATACCCAGTCTGCTTTACTTCTTTACTATTCCCTCCTTGGCCCTCTCAACATTTACACCAACAAGCTTTGAGTTTAATAACCACCAGGATGGCCCAACAATCACTGAAATGTTGAAAAAGTCAAATTTTATAAATTATGTGTTCTAATCTTAGCACCAAAAACCAATGAACAGTTGACAAAGAAACATAACTATTATTAAACTTTAAGTCATCTACTGTTTATATTTAAAGAACACTTACAGAAAGCTTGTCTGGGTTGATCCAGTTGTTTTCAGGAAATTGCACATCAAATTTTATATACAGATCACCTTTTTCAAAGGGATTACGATATTGTGGCATTCCTTCACCTCGAACTACACGGACACATCCTATTATTTAAGTAAAAATGTAACTATTAGGAATTTATTCAAGAAGGTACTCAATAATTCTTTTGAGACTCACTAACTATAAAAATTTACAAGTCACAGAACACATGGAATCCTGGATCAAACAAAAATTGAGATTTACCTGGTTCAATTACTTTTCCAGGGGGGTATTTTACCACAATCTGACGTCCATCAAGGTGTTTAAATGTAAACTGAAATCCACACAGAGCTTCAACAAGTCCTATCTTATATGTCATGTGCAAATCATTTCCATCTCTCTGAAACACCTACAAATAAATCACACAAAAAACATTTTAAAAAGTAAAGAGCCATGCCCTGTTGTGCAGTGTTCCTTGAAATGATTTCAAAACCTTAAATCTACCATTCATTGTAAAAACCAAACTGTCATCATCCCTAATTTCCCTACCTAAATTTATATAAGGAAACCTCGCTATTTTCACATAATATGCTAGAAACTTCTATCAGAAAAACAATGGAATTGAGAAAACAGCGCATAAGGCAGGCTGAAGCTCCAAAAAAACAGGACGAGGTACAGTCTGCATTTGTGGCCCATTTCTTGACTCTGAGCAAAAAAACCAAAAACCAAGAACAAACAAACAAAAAACCTCAAAACCAAAACAGTGCAGACAGTCCTGTAGGATTCTATAGAACAGGTTCGCCTTGGGAGTGCTCCCCGGACATGATCCTAAAAAGAGGAGAGTACAAGTTCAACACAAAGTTCAATCAGTAATGCTCAGCTAGTACACGGGGTCAATACCATATATTACACATGTACAAACAAGTTTTATCTCATCTAAAATTCAAAATTTGCTTAGGTGAATGTAAATCAAACAGCAAATGCTAAGGGTGACTAACTGCACTATAAGCCTATTGACTAGGTAATGCAATGATTAGTCAATAAACGTCAAATATGTTTCTGAGCTATCAATGTATAGGAAAAATACATCCAATTTCACACATACCTGACTTATAATTTTTGCTTATTAGAATTTACAAATATCGGGGCACCTGGGTGGCTCAGTCAGTTAAGTGTCCAACTCTTGATTTCGGCTCAGGTCATCTATGGTTGTGAGAACAAGCCCTACTTCGAGCTCTGTCCGGAGTGTGGAGACTGCTTAAGATTCTCTCTCTACCTCTCTCTACCCCTCCCCTGCTCGCATATACTCTCTCTTCCCCGCCCCCCCCAAATTACAAATATCTATACTTAGCCTTTGAGATTTAGGATGAAACGAAATACCATTATCTTTATCGGTGGTCCTAGACCAGCAGCCTCAGCTGCACCAGAAAACTTGTTAGGAATGCACATTCTTGGGCCACACCCCATACCTACTGGGTCAGAAACTATAGAGGTGGGGACTAGTAATCCATAGTTTTAACACCAGGTGATTCTAAATGTATGCAAAAGTTGAGACCCACTGAATGTATATTACCTATGTGCATTTCCTCAAGTATTTCTTACAATGGGTGGAAAAATTAAATCCAATAAGGACTCTTTAATGCAGAATGTTTTAATCCTTTTATAACTATAAAATGCTAGTATTTCTGAACATCTTATGATATTATTGTTCAAAGAACCACCTATAACCAAATATCCTTTGGTTAAAGCTATACTAGAAATAGGGAACAAGAAGCACCTGGGTGGCTCAGTTGGTTAAGCATCTGAGTCTTGATTTTGGCTCAGGCCATGATCTCATGGTTTATCAGTTGGAGCTTGAGTCGGACTCTGTGCCAACAATGTGGTGCCTGCTTGGGATTCTGTCTCCCTCTCCACCTCACCCCCCACTCACTCTCCTTCTCAAAATAAGTAAAACTTAAAAAGAAATAGGGAACAAGAAGGGACACCACGTTCTTGGATAGGAGCGCTCAACTTAAAGTGATCCAATTAAAAATGCAATGGGGCGGGGCAGGGACTAGTGAAGGGGTGAGTAGGTTAGAAAACTCGATGCTAAAATTCAAACAGAAAGTAATCATGCAAGGACACTCAGAGAATTTTTTAAAAAGCCAGGTTAATTAGGGGTGCCTGGGTGGCTCAGTCAGTTGAGTGTCCTTGAGTGTAAGACTTCAGCTCAGGCCATGATATCATGGTTTGTGAGTTCGAGCCCCACACTGGGTTCTGTGCTGACATCTCAGAGCCGGGAACCTACTTCAGATTTGGTCTTCCTTTCTCTCTCTGTCCCTCACCCGCTTGCTCACACTCTCTCTCAAAAATAAACATTTAAAAAGAAATAATAGTGAAAGACTTAAAAAGCTCTAAGAATTTCTGGAAAACAAAGGTATTGAGCACAGAGAAGGGACTAACATCACCAGATATGATGGCTTTTTTGCTGCACAAATGCACGATGGTAGGCATAGCACCAAAACAGATACACACCTGTACTGAAAGACAAATACACATGATCTATAGCACTCTCAAAATCAAATATTTTTTTTATCAGAAGATTTATACTGTTTCAGCTAACAGCACCCACCCTAATCTCATGGCCTCATAACTCCTTCAGCACAAGTGTTGGGAGTGGGGGATGGGGACCAAAAAACCCTAACAAAATAACTACAAACTTTTTCATGAACTAGTTGAGACTACCCAACTTTTCTCAGAAGGTTAATATTTTTGGGGTGTCTGGGTGTCTCAGTCGGTTGAGTGACCTCAGCTCAGGTAATAATCTCATGATTCATGGGTTCAAGCCTCAGGTCGGGCTCTGTGCTGACAGCTCAGAGCCTGGAGCTGCTTCAGATTCTGTGTCTCCCTCTCTCTCTGCCCCTCCCCTACCTGCATTTGGTCTCTCAAAAATGAATAAACATTTTAAGAAAAAGGAGGTTAATATTTTCAGTGGTATAAATTAAACAAGACACCTAAATCTCTCCCTGGGCTCAAATTTACTTTACTGGTCATAATAAAACCAAATCTTTGACCTCTCACTAGCTAAACTTCCACTCTAACCTCTACTATCTTCTATTTTCTTTAGACAGTTACATCTGCTGTCTGTTGGAATTCCATGCAATTCCACAGCTTCCAACAATATTAAGAAGTGACCTTCTTCCAAATACCTCCCCACAGCCCCAAGAAAGAAAAGCAGCTTATTCATGATCTCATTTGATTCTACAATATCCTTCTGAGGGAGGACTATCTTTGTATTTAGTAAAGCCAAACCAAGCCCAGGGATCCCAAAGCTAGTAAATGGGGAGTCAGAACTTAAGTGCTTGTCTCCAAATCCAGTAATCTTCATTTTAAAAATCTCAATTTAACTATGTAGCAACATTAGAAGCATCTGGGTAGCTCAGTTAGTTAAGCATTTGAGTCTTGATTTTGGCTGAGGTCATGATCTCACAGTTTCTGAGATTGAGCCCCATGCTGTTAGCACAGAGGCTCCTTGGGATTCTCGTTCTTCCTCTTTCTGCCCCTCCCCCACTTGCACTCTCTCAAACATTAAAAAAAAAAGTTATGTAGCAACATTAAAGAATGAATGTAGGGGTTAAAAAAAAAAAAGGTTTCACCATCAGTCTGACATACCAAAAACTCTCCGCCAAATCAGCATTACTTCTTAACTTCCCCATTACTCTCCTGCTACTGTATTTGCACATATCATTTGGTAACTGCCCTCAAACTGTTCCAATTACATAGTAATGAAAATACCCACATGCTGGGGCACCTGGGTGGCTCAGTCGTTTAAGCATCTGACTTTGGCTCAGGTCATGACCTCATGGTTCGTTGGTTCGAGCCCCGCGTCGGGCTCTGTACTGACAGCTAGCTCAGAGCATGGAGCCTGTCTTCGGATTCTGTATCTCACTCTCTCTGACCCTCCCCTGCTCACACTGTCTCTCTCTCTCTCTCAAAAATAAATAAAACATTAAAAAAAAAAAGGAAATACCCACATGTTGTCCAAACTGAACTCAAAATACAGTTTATACTCAAGCATATTATAAAGCTTATAAACATTTCAATTACTCAGCTATCTATCTGCCTTTATTCTTTGTATGGTGTTGTGCTTGAAAGATATGACTGAACAAATGAGGAAGTGGATAAAATACCAATTAACAGGGAATCTAGAGTTACAAATATTTCAACCTATAAGATCCTAAGTCAGAATTCTAGGAATTACTGTTTTTTAGCAATCAAGAAGCCCTTGTCATTTGCAGGTTTGGCAATATCCACAAAGGGCCCAGATACAGATAGTAATTTATAGCTTTTCCCAAGGCAATAAACTTACCCTGAGAAAGGCTAGGAGAGCAAACCATAACCTAGTGAGGAAACTGATCTAATCAAATTCCCAGAATCTGCATCTCAATATGGCTTTATTCGCCATAAGATTCTTCTTTTTTTTTAAGTTTTATTTATTTGAGATAGAGCATTAGCATAAGAGGAGCAGAGAGGGAGAGAATCACAAGCAGTCTCTGTGACAACACAGGGTTCCATCTCACAACCATGAGATTATGACCTGACCCAAAATTAAGAGTTGGACACTCAACCGACTGAGCCACCAGGTGCCCCTCTAATAGATTCTTGAAGGGACTTTCAAAATTTACTTTATTTGTAGAAATCACATCATATGGGAGAAAATTTTAGTGTAAATTAAAAAGGTGGTGACTTGTGATATAAAGCTCTTCAGAGAAACTCAAGTCAATGAGATCAAGTAATGCCAGAACCATGTCAAAGGCTTCTATAGTCAAGAATCTGGGTGATTATTAAAAGGGTTTCCCGAATAGCTCTAGTTACAGTCTTCAACAGTAAAGGCTCTTTACAACTGCACCAAGAACCATAAAATACCTAGGAATAAATCTAACCGAAGAGGTAAAAGATCTGCACACTGCAAACTACAGAAAGCTTACGAAAGAAATTGAAGATACAAAAAAATGGAAAAACATTCCATGCTCATGGATTGGATGGAAGAACAAATTATTGTTAATATGTTGATACTACCCAAAGCAATCTACACATTCAAAGCAATCCCAATCAAAATAGCGCCAGCATCCTTCTCAGAGCTGGAACAAACAATCCTAAAATTTGTATGGAACCACAAAAGACCCCAAATAGCCAAAGTAATGTTGAAAAAGGAAACCAGAGTGGGAGGCATCAGAATCCTGGACGTTAGCCTCTACCACAAAGCTGTAATCATCATGATAGGATGGTACTGGCACAAAAAAAAAGAAGACACATAGACCAATGGAATAGAGAACCCAGAAATGGACCCACACATGTATGATCAACTAATCTTCGAATATCCAATGGAAAAAAGACAGACTCGTTAGCAAACGTTGCTGGGAAAACTCAACAGCACCAGGCAGAAGAATGAACCTGGACCACTTTCTTACACCATACACAGAAATAATCTCAAAATGGATGAGAGACCTAAATGTGAGGCAAGAAACCATCAGAATCTTAGAGAAAACAGGCAACAACTTCTTTGACCTCAGCTGCAGCAACTTCTTACTTAACAGGTCTCTAGGGGCAAGGGAAACCAAACCAAAAATGAACTATTGGGACCTCATCAAGATAAAGATAAAAAGCTTCTGCACAGCAAAGCAAACAATCAACAAAACTAAAAGGCAATCAACAGAATGGGACAAGATATTTGCAAATGACATATTGGATAAAGGGTTAGTATCCAAAATCTATAAAGAACTTACTAAACTCAACACCTGAAAAACAAATAATCCCATGAAGAAATGGGCAGAAGACATGAATAGACACTTCTACAAAGAAGATATTCAGATGGCTAACAGACTAACAGACACATGAAAAGACACTCAACATAGCTCATCATCAGAGAAATATAAATCAAAACCACACTGAGCTACCACCTCACACTGGTCAGAATGGCTAAAATTAACAACTATGGAAACAAGATTTTGGAAAGGGTGTGGAGAAAGGGGGACCCTCTTGCACTTTTGGAGGGAATGCAAACTGGTGCAGGCACTCTGGAAAAGTGTGGGGGTTCCTCAAAAAAATTAAAAAATAGAATTACCCTATGACCCAGCAACAGCACTACTAGACATTTATCTAAAGGATATAGGAATGCTGATTCATAGGGGCACATGTACCCCAGTGTTTATAGCAGCACTCTTAACAATAGCCAAAACATGGAAAGAGCCCAAATGTCCATCAACCGATGAATGGATAAAAAAGATGTGGGGCGTATGTGTATATACGTATATATACATACACTGGAATACTATTTGGCAATGAAAAAAACAAAATCTTGCCATTTGCAACAAGGATGGAACTGGAGGGTATTATTACGCTAAGTGAAATAAGCCAGTCAGAAAAAGACAAATATGTTTTCACTCCTATGTGGAATTTGAGAAAGTTATCAGAAGACCATAGGGAAGAGAAGGAAAAATAAGTTACAAACAGACGGAGGCAAACCATGATACTCTTTAAATACAGAGAACTGAGGGTTGATGGGACTGGGGTAAAATGGGAGATGGGCATTGAGAAGGGCACTTGTTGGGATGAGCACTGGGTATTGTAAGTAAGTGATGAATCGTGGGAATCTACTCCCAAAGCCAAGACTACACTGTATACACTATATGTTAGCTAACGTGACAATAAATTATTTAAAAAAAAAAAAAAAAAAGAATAAAGGCTCACAGGGGTACCTAGGTGGCTCAGTAGGTTAAGTGTCTGACTTTGGCCTAGGTCATGATCTCATGATTTGTGGGTTTAAGCCCTGTGTTAGGCTCTGTGCTGATAGCTCAGAGCCTGGAACCTGCTTCAGATTCTGTGTCTCCTTCTCTCTCTGTCCCTTCCCTGGTAGTGCCCTTATCTTTCTCTCCCTCAAAAATAAACATTAAAAAAAGAAAAATAATCACAGGCTCTTAAAAAAAAAAAATAAAGGCTCACACAAAAAAATAAAGGCTCACAGTATAGTCTATGGCACATCAGAAAATAGAAGCGCCATGGCATTATCAAAAGAATATATACAACAGACCACATCGTTGGACCAGTTAATTATGCCTTGTAGTTAACATACAACATAAAAGCAAAATAAGTTTTTTTAAACTGTAGAACTTTTTCTGTCAAGAAAAGCTCACCTGGTTAATCCAACATGTAAAACAATTCAACAGAGCAGCACTGAGGACTGAAGCCCTAACTACCACTCAACACCCATCAAAGGAGTTTCACAATGAAAAATAAGCTGCCTTAGATCATCTGGCCCAATGTCCTTACATTCATAAACAAGGAAACTGGGGTACAGACACAACAGGATTACTTATGATTACAGTGCTAATCAATGGCTGAGCTGCAACCAAAACGGACTCCTTTTCAGGGCTTCTGACTGCACCTGGCTTGTCGGTCTACTAGTTAGTTCTTATAAACTCAGCCCAACCACTTAACTTCGTTTATGTTCAAAGTTGTTCCAGAGAACCCAAAAAGATCTAACCTGTACCTTGACCACAACACTTATTTCTGCATAAAACAAAAATCAAATAAAAAGGAAATTACCTCATGTTCCTTCTCTTGTAGCAAAAGAACAATGTCTCCTGGTTCCACTCCTGGGGCCTGATCTGCTTCCCCAGTGAATGTAATTCTCTGTCCATGTTTCATGCCTTTGTCTACGTGGACTTCAAGAATCTTCACTTCTTTAATCACCTTCTTGCCTTCACATTTTTTACAGCGGTCCTTTTCATTAATTACCTCTCCTAGAAAGATAGGTCATTCAAACTTCCAACAAGAGTACCATACTGCACTCTTAAGATACTGTCTTGGTACTGCTTTTTATTCATTAAATAAACGTTCTGAATTTAATTGCTATTTGAAGTTTTGTTTAAAGTATCATTGTTAGTAATAGAAATTTGCATCTTACTACCCAGCTACCCAATCTCCTCTATTTCAGAGTATAATATATTTTAAATAACACTTTGAGTACCTCCACACCATGTTTAGAACAACACGGCTTTTCTCTGCATTCTTCTGAAACATTTAATTAGTGGTATAATGAAGTTAAACCTGAAATTGTACATAATGTATTGTGAAAAAATATTGATTTCTGAAGGCTGATTATTGGCACACATTAATGCTTAGATGACACATATAATTAATGACCTCAGGGACTGTTTCTAGAATACTGCTTTCAAAAAGTATGTTCTGCAAAACACCAGATCCTCACAATGGTAATGGAACACGGGAAAAGATTTCAGTAAACTTTGGTTTCTTAGATTGCGGGAACTGTTAGAAACTTTAATAAGGTAAAGTGCACTGAGACTTTCCAGGAGGGGAATAATAATATGCAGTTTCTCCATTATCTATCTCATCACTTCCTGCAGCAATCTGGAAAAAGATGCTCTAGAATGGTTTTTAATATGGTAGCCACCAGGCATCTGTAGCTATTTAAAGTTTAAATTAATTAAAATTAAAAATTTAGTTCCTCAGTCTCACTAGCTAAATTTCAAGTACTCAATAGCCATAGGTGGCTAATGGTTACCATAGGAGACATTGTATGTACAGTACATTTCCATCATTGTAGAAAAATTTTATTACATAGCACTGCTCTAGAACAGGGTCTGGCAAACTAAAACCCACAGGCCAATTGGGTATGCCCTTGTTTTTCTAAGAAATGTTTAACTGGAAGTCAGTCATGCCCATTTGGTTATGTATTGTCCGTGTTTATAAAAGCATTACAAGGACAGGGGTGAGTAGTAGTTTCAAAACCTATTCTGAGTCTAAGTATTTCAAAGACATCCAAAGCCTAAAGTATTTACTTCTGTGAGAAGGAAGGACTTCAGTCCCTGTAACCATCCTTAAAAGCTAGCAGCTTACAGTAAAGTCTGTTGCTATCTTCCTCTTTCTCAAATATAACCTTTAACAATATAAAGGGAAAAAAAACTTGTGCCCATCCTTTTGGAACTAAAAAAGACGAACATTTCACCGAACATAATATAAATTTACTCTTTGTGTTCATTGGGCCTATACATAATAATTTTCATTTTTTCTTTGAGAACTTTTATCTTTCAATAAAATGAATACACGTTAAAAAAAAAAAATGTAAGCCTCTCCAACTCCTGCATTCCCAAACCATTTCAACATAAAAGCAGAGAAGTATTGGCACGCATACCTTCTCCATTACAGTCAGAACACACAGACTGCATCTGTTGTACCATTCCCGGAGCCAGCTGTCTTATCATAATGCGTACACCTCGACCCCGACAAGCACTACACTTCTGAACAGCTCCAGACTTTCCACCTTGGCTAAAGCAAGCAAAAGTGTAATTAAATTTTTGCCCACAAACCGTTCCAATAGACCACGGCAAACAAGAATTGTGCTTTTCAACTTCATTTTCTCAACACCCAACGACTAGTATTTAAATGGACTTTCAGAGGTATCAGAAAATGTTCTGAGTCAGGTAGTTAAAATCATGAATAATTTTTAATTGATACAGATGAAATGTGCCACTGAAAGAACAGATGAAATGTATTTTGGAGACTAGAACACACACTTACCCACTGCATGCACTACAGAGTACATTTTTGCTAAGTTGTAGTTTGGTTGTCTTGCCATTATATAGATCTTCTAAAGATACTCTGGGGAGAAAAGAATTAGGTTCAATCAAATTTTGCCAAGTTCTCCTAAATACAATATATAAATGACAGCTGATACAGCATATTCCACTATAGCCTTTTAAAACAAAGAATTCAAAAACATCTTACATTAAGTCAACTAAGGTTTTATTTTGTGGCTCAAATTAACAGAAGGATTTTTATGGTTATGGACGGTAATATATGGTGTCAAAACCAGAACCTACAGGATCAGTGCAACAATGTACTATACTGCATTTTCTGATAAAGTTGGTAACTGCACAAACTCAAGGATCAACCTTCTTCTGGCCTCAAGCAGGAGTCCTTCATCTAATCCAACCCTGTGAATGAGGTATAATTATCCTCCTCATCTTACAAGACAAAACTTAGCACAGAGAGGTTAACTTGCCTTACTTGATCACACAGGCAGGTTGGCTCCAGAGTTCATGCTCTACTAAAGACTTCCCCTTAAGGACAATTTTTAGAAAGCTACAAAGTTACATTACAACTTATGGGAGTCATAAGCAATTTAAGATTGCATATGTCTCAAAAACAGAACAAAAAAAGTGACCTTATCAACAGTTATGACAGGAGGAAAAGAAAAGGTTTTCAACAGAGAGCCTAGAAGTTTTAGAGATCTTAAGAAACCACTGACTTATAAGCAAAATTATATATTTGAATTAACTTTTACCAAATTTTCAAAGGGGTCTATGATCAAAATAGGTTAAATAAGGGGTGCCTGGGTGGCTCAGTCAGCTCAGTCATTTTGGCTCAGCTCATGATCTCATGGTTCGTGAAACCAAGCCCCAGCATCAGGCTCCACACTGAACATGAGGCCTGCTTGGGATTCTCTTTCTCTCTCCCCTGCTCGCATGTATTTTTTTCTTTCTCTCTCTAAATAAGACATTTATAAACAAGGTAGAATTTAAAAGCCTGTTAAAAACACAACTGATAAAACCCAACTCATCTTTATATAGTAGATGAATTATAGGACCATTCATTTCCAAACTAACCTCAAAAAAAATCTATGTATATTAAGTCTCAAACACTATTCAGGGGTGCATGGGAGGCTCAGTTAGTTGTCTGACTTGAGTTCAGGTCATGATCTCAAGGTTCATGATTTCGAGCTCTGCATGGTGGGAAGGGTGGGGTGAGGGTCTTTCCTAATTTAATTTTTTAATTAAAAATTTTTTTAAACACTATACACTTAGGATCTGAAAGCAATGCTTTTAATGTGTTTTTTTACCCATCTCGTTGTGGTTTTAAATCTCTTTTAGCAGTGAAGATTCACTTTAAAATAGAGGAACAATAATTAAAAGTACTTTGCAAAGCACCCATACTATTTATTTTGAGGTATTCAAACTTTCCCAAAATCATTATTTCAAGATATTATTTGTACACATTCTAGGCAGTTTAAGAATAAAACACTTAGGGACAAAATATTACCAACATTTCCAAATAATGACATAGCTACAGCTTCATCTTAGACAAAAGCAATTGGCTGCATCTGTCTTTTAATACTCAAACAATCTTTAACAAAATAATTTACCAAAAAATAAAATAGGTACATCTTTTCCTCCTTGTATATTAAACTGCAGTTAGTATGCAAAACCACTCTCTAAGAGGCCATAAAAACACGCACTTCAACAAACATGGCCAATGAAGGAAAAATGTGGATAATGGTCTGGCCAAGCTGGCACTATCCACCAATGGTGCTAAACTGGTACAATCCTTTACAAGGCAATTTAGTCATATTTATCAGCCTCAAAATACTGATGCCTGCCTGGGAATCTCTGCCAAGAAGAGACAAAGCTGTATATAAAGATACTCAAAGCAGCTATTACAGAAAAAAATTAGCAACAGCCTATAGAAAAGGTGAATGATTAAGTAAATCATGGAATGGAATATTATAAAGCCTCTGAAAACAAAATGTTGTAACAACAGGTAAATTCTAAATAATATTAAAACAGCATTTACTACCTAATTTGAAATAACATTGAAGGAGAATATTAAGAATTTATTAAGGTACAGCAAGCACTCTCAATCCTATTTACTTCTTAGATCACTTTTTTTATCAAAGAAAAAAGAACTAAACCATACCATACAAATATTACTCTTGGAAAAATATTCAAATGGTAATTTATTTGAGGATAAATTCTTTTAAAACACAAATTTAAGAATGAGATTCAAACAATGTAACAGTTTATGCTTCCTCTATATAAATTAGGTAATATGAAATATTTTAAATAAACGATGAAAGTTGGTCTCTGGCATTTGCTAGTAAAATCCTTATTGGTTTGTGAAGAGAATAAAAGACCTCACAAACTTTGCAAAGTAAAATAGCTATTTTCATACTGTAGAGGGCCCACTGGTTCACAGTCTAAGATCAAGGTCAGACACCATTCATACGTTGGCAGGTTAATGTCAGGCTTGAGGCCAGGAAGCTCCATGGAAACCAATTTAGGAGAGTTCACACTGAGGATCAAGTAATGAGTGATTGTAACATGTAAACAAACTAGTCAGAGAGTCACCTACTTTGTAAATTTTTAAATAAAAAGTAACTTGGAAAATTTAAATACTTAAAAATAATCTTCATAATTGAAACATTAAATCATTTAGTAAAAGCAGCTTCAGACACATATAACAAAACCACCTGCCTACTCAGTTAAAACACCATCCTTTAAGATCTGTAGCAAAATACTAACACTCAGGTTACCAACTTCAATTTAGTCACCCAAAGACAGCAAGGACATGGCAGATTTTTTTTTTCTGACAAAGGATGAATATTTTTGATACATTTCTCTTTACTGAGCATTACTACTTGAAAAAATAGTACTTAATATTTTTGTAAGAAAGAAAAAAAGATATTCACTTAAGTGGATGCATCATGTCTTCTCCTCTTCTTCTGCCATTTCGACTTCTACTCTGATTGCCCATAAAGCCGAACAATCCCCCACCAAAAATGTGAGAGAAAATATCATCCATGCCACCACCTCCGCCGCTACCTTCCCGAAGACCTTGTTCTCCATATCTGTCATATAATTCACGCTTCTCAGGATTTGACAGCACTTCATATGCAAAACTTATTTCTTTGAACTATAAAAAAAGTAACAAGGAAAACAATTGGGTTTTCAAGTAGGAGAGTGGGGGGGGGGAAGGTTACAGGAATCTGGGATCTAAGAGAAAGCTACAAATTACATTTGGATGGATTCTGGTCCTACCTCCCACTGCCCAGGATGTTGGCATTCCCATTACAAAACCAAAATTTTCTTAATGTAAAAATTTGGCTCTATGGGCATAGATGGCACTTTTCTTACAACATTCCTGTTTTTAAGGAGAATAATCTAAAACTAAAATCTCATGGGGAAAGTGTCAAATAACTTACTTTGTCACCAGCATTTGGATTCTTATCAGGATGATATTCCTTGGCTAACTTTCTGTATGCCTTCAATAAAAAAGAAAAATTTTAAAAAAAGATTACATAAAAATCTGCTTTAAAGATTTTTGAGTACTAAATATTCATTTTTCTGAGAAGCAACTCATAACACTCCAAAAATATCTTTTATTCACTGAGATTGTTTGGCAATCTAGATTCATAAGTGCAATATTGTTTTTACTAATTTGTCCATCCCAATACTGTTGACTCATTAACTTAATCCAAAAAAGCAGACAGCAGCTATATTTGAACAATGCCAGAAAAAAACAAAATATTGGAAAATTACACATCTCGGTACTGTCAAATGTCTTTGATGGCCGGTAACCAGACCAAGAAAACCTCAATGAACTCTAAAGAAATGATTGTCAAGCTTAACAAACTGCAAAACATTACTACTAAAAATTAAACTAAGGTAAGAACCTCTGCTCAGGATAGCTCCTGCCCTTCCTCTAATTGAAATATCAAGAAAAAGCCTGGAGCTTTTAATTTTTCATATGGTGGATTAATTAGGGTCTTAATTGCGGTGACCTCAGCCTTCGTGAAGTTGCATACATTTTAGGTGGTTGGGATATATACAGCACTTAAGTCTTTATTCACAGACACATGAATTATATAATACAGACTAGCATTTCCGGTAAGGTAACAGGAAGTCCATTTTACTCTCAACTGTACCGGTCCCAGTGCCTAAGGAGCATTCTCATTTTTTCTCGGCTTACAAATCTGGATACTCTAAAATCGGTGAAGACGGTACAGGATTTAATCAAATGCCGCAAGTGCCTTAAATCTTGAGATCAAAGATTCACAGCATTGCAAACATCAATAAGGTCTTATATTTATTTTTAGTGTGCACTCAGGTGTTTGGCTGAGACCCATGGCTTATTCCTGAAGCGGGCACAGAACATCTAGGTTACCTGCCCACAGAACAATACACCCAGAGACCCACGGGTCGGTGAGCGGAGGAGGAAGAGAGGGAGGTGCTCCAGAGGCCGCGGCACCCAAGAAACATCTTCAACTGCCCGGAGGCACCGGCGGGGGCGGCCTCAACCCTCCAGCCAGACCCTAAACCTAGCCCCGATTCGGACCCGATGGCGACTGCCGCGGCGTGGACAACTTCTCTCCCGGGGCCGGGATGCGCTGTGCGCCTCTGTCCAACCTGTTTTTCCAGGGTGGTGACCTCCGTGCGGGGAGGGCCGAGCAGGCTGCTGCCTCCCAGGAGCGCCCGGCCTCCGGCGCCCGCCGGGGAAGAGAGGAAGGAAGCGTTCTTCGGCTGTTTGCGCAGGGGTGGGTTTTATTTGCTGCATTTGCGGGCGGGCGGGGCCGACAGCCCAAGGTCAGCCGAGGCCGGTCTCACCGCCGCCGCCCCCCAGCTTGGGCCCGCTGCGTCCGGCGCCGGCTCCTGGGCAGCCCCGTAGCGCGGCCTGGCCGTCTCGGCCGCGCAGGCCCGCGCCCCTCACACCCTGCCCGGCCGTCCCGCTCCCCACTACCTTCTTCAGCTCGTTCTCGCTGGCGCCAGGCGGGACGCCCAGAATGTCGTACAGCTTGGTGTCGGCCACGTTCGCCATGGCGGCGGGCTAGGAAACGCTTAGAGGAGAAGGCGACGGAGCGGACCGAGCGCAGCCAGGCCCACAGCGGCGTCGGCGGCAGCGCATGCCGAGGAAGACAGCGAGGGGGAAGAGGGGCGGAGCTGAACTTTGACCCGGCGCACGGCGCGACGTGACGTCGCTACGCGGAGTCCGCCCCGAGCGCTCGGCCGCGGCCGTTGGGGGTCGGGGTAGTGACTGAGCCTGCGTTGGGGTCGCTTCTCCGTAGGGTCCAAGCCCTGGGAAACTGAGAGAGCTGTGACCCGCGCTTTCCAAGGCTTCAGCTCCTTGCGAAAGGCGTTTATGGAGGGTGCTGAGGGGATGAAGAGGCTGCCCCCTCGGTCAGCTTCGAATCCGGCGGGCGAGAAAACCGGGCCGGGCCCCCGCGGGAGGCCCCGCTGAGGTCGTCCTCCGAATCCGAGATGCCGCAGGTGGACCCTCTGCGTCTCGTTCCCTCAGGGCTACGATGAAAAACAGCTCCTGGGGGTGGGTGTGCGTGTCTGTCTGTCGGCGCGTTTTGTATTAAGGAATTTTTAAACATTCACGAAAAGTAGTATGTTACAACGAGGAGTGCAACAGTTAGCTACATTTTACTGATTTTGTTTCATCTGTCTCCTCCAACTCATACTCCCTAATCTTAAGTGTTTTAGGGAAACCGTTTTAATCACAAATATATCTCTAACATGAATTTTTAAGGCATAATCACGTCATTTAGTCCATGTTGAGATTTTCACAGTTGTCTTCATCACAAATTGTCTTTTCACAATTGGTTTGTGACATCCGGATCCAAATTAAGACTGACCCGTTGCGTCTGAGTCATGTGTTTAAGTCTCTAACTTGATAGCTTTAAACTCACCAAACACCAGAGTTCTGGATAGTGTAAGGCAGCCGGACTGGACATAGCCACCTGGTGATTGATATCCGTTGGTTTACTTTAGTTTCTCAAAAATGTTTGCAGTGCACCTACCACGTACCACGTGCTGGGATGGTACAGACACTTAGACTGGAGGAGGGGAGTGTTATAAGAGAATAAGCCCTAGTGCGTGCCTTCAACTCGCTAACCGTTTATGGATAGAGGAAAATAAGATGTTCTGATCCTTTGCAACCTGAACCGGTGGTAAAGACTCCAACATAATCATCTCACTCAGGCTAATCTCTCTTCCTTGGCATTCCTCCAAACCTACTTATGGAGGGCCTGGAGTACCATGCCCAGGAGTTGGAAATTTATCCTGAAAACCCTGGGGAGTAATTGATGGGCAGTCATGGTATTCTTTCCACCTAAGTCTTCCTTTTTCTCAAATACTACCCAAAATGCTGTTCTTTCAGTGAAGTCTTTGATTCCCCAACCCGGTGAACACCATTGTCTCATCTGAGTTTCCAGCACCTTTAGCTTGTGCCACTCCTAGATGGGTCTCATGTGCAGTTTGAATAGTAGTTTGGTGTGAGTCTGAACTTCATTAATAGGGTGTAGGTTACTTAGGGAAGATTCATTCTTCTGTACCCCACAAGGGCTGACTTTGAATACAGTAAAGGCCTCAGTAATTTCAGTTTCCCCACTTCTTTTTTGCATTTTGAGACATTCATAAAAAGCAGTGTAAAGTGGTGGTGAAGTTAGATTATGTGGATTGGTGGCCTGGTTCTGCCATTTATTAAAAATGTGACCTTGAGCAAGTTACTTAATTTTTCTGAGGCTATTTTCTCCCGTGTCAAATTAGATTTAGTAGTATTTATGCCATTGGCTTCTTTTCAGGATTAAATGAGTTAGTAGCATGCTTAGAACAGGAGCTAAAACCAAGTATATTAGCAATTGGTTTTTGCCCACCTGCCTGTAGGCTGTTTCCATATCTCTCTATTCATTGTCTTTATTCATTTAAATACCTGGCTTACTGAGCGGGATTCCCCAGCTTCCTCCGTAAAGAGTCAGAAAGAGCTGGACGTTTCTGTTTCAGTTTTACTGAAACTTTTTTTTTTTTTTTTTACAAGAGGAAAAAATTCCTCACTTGGTTCATTTTTAGTTTCTGATATTCTAGTGAAGAGTAGCTGGGTAATTCCCTCCTTAGCTCGAAGTTATTTTTTTTTACCTGTCTCTAAGCAGCACCATAGTTCATAAATTTGTTTTCATTTACTTATAATATTTCCTCCATTTCTGAGTGTTCACTGTAGTCAGTATTGTTATTTGCTAATTTTACAGGTCGACAAGTTATTTCGGAACAGTTCTGTGTGTTTCAGCTGACACATGCTCTCTGTCATCCCATACTGAGTCAAAACTGTGTCATTGTGAGCACTATAACATTTCAGCCACTGACTTTGTATTTTTAAGGTAGCTCTTTTATTTTAGCTCCATATTTAGCTAATGCCATGAAGGGAACAAGACCTTTATCTCATTTCATGTGTCAGGCACCATAAAATGCTGAGTCACAGTCATCTGAGGGCTGCTCTCACTAGGCAAATGATTTAGTTTGAGGCTCTAGTGATTTAAGATTTCTGCCAGGTTTATATTGTTGTTCAATTACTTTTTAAAATTGTTACTAATTCAGTGTAATTGTGTGGGGTTGAGGTGGGGAGGAGGGAGGTAAGGACTAGGGAGGAAGTGTATGAACTAAGTTTTCAGGCCATTCATACTGTTCACAACTAATACAATACAGACTATGTAATCCATTACTTTACAGATAGCCCTTTATATATGATTTAGGCAGTTCAGACAGTTTTGCTTTCATCATTTTGTTTAATTAGTTTTGCATGTACAGGGCAGATTTTTCAGAGGATACAAAAAAAATGCTAATGGCTCTTGTCATGAAGCTATTGAGACTACAGTATTGATGATTGTTGGTACTCCGAAGAAAAAATTGTGGGGTTCGGATCATTAAATTCCTTGCAGTTCCTCAACTAGATTGTTCAGTGATGGGGCAACGTGATTTTATGTGGTGTATACATACATATATTTATATATACACACACACATATATGTATGTGTGTATATGTATGATTTTATATGGTATATAGCCCCAATGCTAACCTGTCAAACCCTGTCATATCAAGCTTTTCCATATCAATGAGCACATTGTAAAGGTTCAATTTGCTTATAAATTGCAATGCTATGATAAACATAAGAATGAATGTTTAGCTGTCTAACTGTTTGGGGAAAAATAGTGGAGAAAATATCTCTACATATTCATTCATTATCAAATATGTATTATGAACCCATTATGTATCAGACACTATCAGGGTTAGGGATATAGTCATAAACAAAATCCCTGCCCTCACAGAACTTCTATCTAGAGGGGAAGACAGTAAACAAATATGTAGTTTATCACATGGTAATATGCACTCTGGAGAAAAGGAAAAGGGATAAAGAGTATTGGGATTGGATACTATTTTTATTTAGGGTATATGGGAAAGACTTAATTGATGAGGTTACATTTTAATTTCAATCTAAAAGAAGTGAGGATATTTGAGAAAACTTCCCAGGCAGTGGGCCTGCCAAGGCCCTAAGGCAGAACAGGCCTGTCTTATTTATTTTTTTTTATTTTTTTTAAAATGTTTTATTTATTTCTAGGAGAGAGAGAGAGAGACAGTGTGAGCAGGGGAGGGTCAGAGAGAGAGAGAGGGAGTGACAGACTGAAACAGGCTCCAGGCTCTGAGCTGGCAGTCAGCACAGAGCCCGACGCAGGGCTCGAACCCACAAACCTCGAGATCATGACCTAAGCGAAAGTCGGATGCTTAACCGACTAAGCCACCCAGGCGCCCCAGGCCTGTCTTATTTAAAGGAAGAAGGCAAATATGGCTGGGTACAGCATGTTCGGGAGATACTGAAAAGAGAGGTGGTAAAATCACAGAAGTTGTGAGAGACCTAATTAGGTCCATTATAAAGACTTTGGCTTTTATTGTGTGATGAGAAGCCATTAAAAGGTTGTGTGAGCAGAGAAAAGACCTAAGTTACAGTAAAAAAAAATTTTTTTTAACTTTTTAAAAAATTTTATTTTTGAGATAGAAACAGAGTGTGAGTGGAGGAGGGGCAGAGAGAGAGGGAGACACATAATCCGAAACAGGCTCCAGGTTCTGAGGTATCAGCACAGAACCTGATGTGAGGCCCAAACCCACGAACCGTGAGATCATGACCTGAGCCAAAGTCGGACACTTAACTGACTGAGCCACCCAGGCACCCCTAAATTACATTTTAAATGTGTCACTCTGATAGCTGCACTGAGAAGCTATTGCAATAAAACCCAGGCTGAGAGATGATATGGGCAAGATAGAAGAGGTGGGGTTGGTAAGGATTGGTTGGATTCTAGATATATTTTGAACTTGGAGCTGGCAGATTTAAATATTGGTTGGAAATGGGAGGTAAAATAGGTGTGGTAAAAATAAAAGTTCATGTTAAATTAGAGATGCTTATTAGACATTCATGGAGCAATGTTAAACAAATAGTTGGGTTTATAAGAATGGAATTTGAATGGGGGGTGGTGGTCCAGGCTAAAGATGTAATTTTGGAACCCCTTCAACATATTGATGGTGTATAGAGAGATTAGTCTGGGTAAATTCATCTAGGATGGTGCATTTGGTAACTGCATGTTAGAACTTCTTAAAGGAGGGGCACCTGGGTGGCCTAGTTGGTTAAGTGTCCGTCTTTTGCTTAGGTCATGATCTCGCAGTTCGTGGGTTCAAGCCCCGCGTCGGGCTGTGTGCTGACTGCCAGCTCAGAGCCTGGAGCCTATTTCAGAGTCTGTGTCTCCCTCTCTCTCTGACCCTCCCCTGCTCACGCTGTCTCTCTCTCTCCTAGAAATAAATAAAAATATTTAAAAAAAAAAGAACTTCTTAAAGGAGCTTTTTAAAAATTGCAGTGCTTCAGTCTCTCCTCCCAGAAGTCCTGACTGACTTGATCACAAATAGGGCAGGGCATTGTTTTTTTTTTAAAGGCTAAGATGATTCTGTTTTTTGAACACTTAGATTGTTTACCCTTTTTTAAAAACATTGTAAACAATACTTATGTGAATAACCTTATAGTCTAATTTTTGTGTATACTTTTTGTTGCTCCTGTAAGATACATTTCTAGAATATTTTTGATATTTCTGCCAATTTCAAACATGAAGAACATATA